TCCACTCACCTCAGCCTCCCAAAGACGTGGGATTACAGGCTGAGCCACTAAGCCCGGCTCCTCTTTTTTTTTTAAAGACAGGGTCTTAATATGTTGCCCAGGCTGGTCTCGAACTCCTGGGTTCAAGTGATCCTCCTGCCTTGGCCTCCCTAAGTGCTGGGATTACAAGTGTGAGCCGCCGTGCCCACCTGTATACCTGAATACTTGTTCTTAAGCATATTACTTACAGTTCCAATCTCTCTTCTCTCGGCCTTCCATTCATTGTTTTATTTCCTCAATTTAATTCAGTAACATTTATGGAACACTTAAACACCAAGAATTTTGCAGTTTTTCTGCCAAGTAAAAATTTAAAACTGCCTTTGAATCCCAACCCAGATGTCACCTCCTAAAGATTTTTTCCAGTCTCCTGTGTTGAGCCTTCTTACATCTGTATTCTTATATCATTTTATACTTCCTTGGTTTGTACCATCACATTTTGCTTGAGTCTCTCTCCTTTACCAGATTGTGAGCTCCTTGAACTATATCTTTGCTGGGTGTAGTGGCTCATGCCTAGAGTTCACGATTAGCCTGGGCAACATAGTGAGACCTTGTCTCTACAAAAAATTTTTTAAAAATTAGTCGGGCATGGTGGCACACACCTGTAGTCCCAGCTACTTGGGAGGTTGAGGTGGGAGGATCGCCTGAGCCCAGGAGGTTAAGGCTGTGGTGGACCATGATCATGCCACTGCACTCCAGCCTGGCGACAGCATGAGAACCTAACTTAAAAAAAAAAACAAAAAAAAACTGTATCTTGTTTGTTTTTGTGTCCCTAAAGAGCCAGAGACAGGCCGAGCTTGGTGGCTCAGCCTGTAATTCCAGCGCTTTGGGAGGCCGAGATGAGTGGATTGCCTGAGCCTGTGGGTTCAAGACCCGCCCGGGCAACTTGGTGAGACCTCATCTCTACAATAAATAAAAAATTAGCCAGGCATGGTAGCGCATGCCTGTAGTTCCAGCTATTTGGAAGGCTGAGGCGAAAGGATTATCAGAGTCCAGCAGGTTGAGGCTGTGGTGACCGGGAGCGTGCTACTGCACTCTAGTATGGGTGACAAAGTGAAACTCCAACTCAAAAAAAAAAGAGAGAGAGCCAGAGACAGTGCCTCAAGTAAACAAGTGTTTGGGCAAAGGAGTTATGGCACATGTACATTTAACTTATACAAATTCTGCATGGCATGCCTAACTAAAAGATAAATACCATAATTGACACAGGCAGTTTCGCTTGCTGTTGTACCCAGTGAGTGTGTGCCTAAGATTGAGACAATATAAGAGGTATGAACCTGTTGTTGGTCTTCAGTCAGTGTCTCTTCCCATACGCCTCTGAAGGTGAACATTTCACCAAGCTTGAATGTTTCTCCTGTTGAAGATACTTTTTATAACATTATATATCAAACCAACCCACTGGCACTCCTTCCAGGCCAGCTATCTTAGATTTGAGAAGTAGTGTGTTGATCTCTAACATAGTGCTTTCCTAAGGAATTATCAAGGGTAATTTTGACTAGACTGACTTTCATACACACTGACTTCAGAGCCTAATCCTTTATGCAAGATAGGAATGCTACTATATAGTTCTACTACATGAATAATCTATCCTTTCTCTTGAGTTCCTATAGGTATTTGTCTTATCTTACCAGTTAAAAAGCAAGGATAATGTCTTTATACCTATTTGTATTTGGCATACTGCTTTCCAGAATGAATAGACATTTTATTATGGTTTTATGGTGCTGATATCTGTGGAATGACCCAGAACCACATCCTTTAACTCACTACCAGTAATCATCCACCTTGATACCATTTGCTAAATTTTCCCTCTGAATTATCACGTTTCTTTCTTTCCCACAGCTCTTCCGACGTGTAGCAGCAGCTTTGCCTGGAATGGAAAGCACACAGGACAGAAGCAGAGAAGATAGTATCCTTTTTGTTCCACAGGAAACTTTTATTGTTAAAACTAATCTGTAGAGCCTCCTTTGTTTGGCTAAGGAATATTGTACCATTGCCTTTTGCAACCAGGAAGTGATGGCTTGAGGGCATAGGAACTCAGAGGCTTTCTATAGCAAATGAGGTCTGCTTTTTCAAATGCACCCCTTTCAACCTGCTGCTCATTATAATTAATAAGAGGGGGTTTGTTTGCTTGCTTTCTAATGAGCAAAATACTCTTAGAATCCCAAATCCCTGTCTCCTTGTTTCTTTGTTTTGAGTCCCATTGACTGTGGACTTTTTTCCCATAGAATATCATATTTTATTTTTTTTTATTTTTTAAGTTGGAGTCTCACTCCTTCTCCCAGGCTGGAGTACAGTGGCACACACACTCACAGCCACCTCAGTGTCAGCCTGCTGGGCTCCGGCGATCCTTCCACCTCAGCTTTCCAAGTAGCCAGAATTACAGGCACACACTACCACACCCGGCTAATTTTTAAAATTTACTGTAGAGACAAGTTCTCGCCAAGTTGCCCAGGCTGGCCTAATATTTTCTTTTCCTACTTTTTCTAACACTTGAGTTTTCTGCTTGACACAGGCAAGAAATAGAATGGAACTTTATTATGGCCTCTACTTTCAAAGACAGGACATAATGAAGCACATGTAATAGTATCTCCAAGGATTTTGAAGTTTGATGTTTTTATTGTTTCATATGGTAAGACACTAGAAGGTTTTACCATATGCAACCATTTTTATTAAGCCATAGAGTTTATAGTACTTTGTATTCCACTCTTCCCACTTCTAAATGTTTTATACTTTCCAAGCCTTTATTACTTTTTTTTTTTTTTTGAGTTGGAGTCTCACTCTGTCACCCAGGCTGGAGTGCAGTGGCACACTCACGGCCACCCCATTGTCAACCTGCTGGGCTCAGGCAGTCCTTCCATCTCAGCCTTCCAAGTAGCCGGAACTACAGGCACGCACTACCATGCTTGGCTTGCTTGCTTATTTATTTATTCATTTATTTATTTATTTTTTGAGTTGGAGTCTCACTCTGTCGCCCAGACTGGAGTGCAGTGGCCACTCCCGGCCACCGCAGCCTCGACCTACTGGGCTCCGGCGATCCTTCCGCCTCAGCCTTCCGAGTAGCCAGGATTACAGACACGCACTACCACGCCTGTCTGATTTTTGATTTATTGTAGAGATGAGGTCTTGCCAAGTTGCCCAGGCGGGTCTCGAACCCGCGGGCTCAGGCAATCCACTCACCTCAGCCTCCCAAAGGCGCGGGATTATAGGCTGAGCCACCGAGCCCGGCTATTTATTTATTTATTTTAGAGACGAGGTCTCACCAAGTTGCCTGGCTGATCTCGAACCCATGGGCTCAGACAATCCACTCACCTCGGCCTTCCAAGTGCTGGGATTACAGACTGAGCCACCAAGCCTGGCCCTTTATTACTTTTAATGGCATAATATGTTCTACTGAGTTGAAGTTCCATTATTACATTTTTCCCCTTCTGTTAGAACTATTTCAGGCCACTTTCAGATTTCTTTTATAAGTTATTCTATAAGGGATATCATCTTAATATTACTTACTGTTGCTGTAGAATAATTTCCTTAGGATAGAGTCCCATAAATAGGGCTTGTGCCTCATTCTGACCCTTGCTGCATCCATAGATATAAGCAAACTTACCGCATATGAGCACCTTGTATGATGAGATGGCTATATAGAAAATATAGTAGCTGTGTAGGATCTAAAGTCAAATAGGAGTATAAAGGCCTTACCAGAAATGTCAGTGTTTGGCAGAATTGGAATTGCTTTTTTCCCATTTATGGGTCCTTAACTTTTGTTTCAGTGATTGACATAAAACTGGAAAAGCCTCAGGACCAACCCGTCAATGAAGGAGGCTGTTCCTGCTAATCCCCCGTGACATCTTCAGCTCTACTTCAGAGGCTCACTGCTTTGGTCCCTTACTCTCTCATTGACTGCAGTGTGAATATTGGCTTGAACCTTTTCCCTTCAGTAATAACATATTGCAATTCATCATTGCTGCCTGTCTCGTGGAGATGATCTATTAGCTTCACAAGCACAAAAAAAGTCAGTGTCTTCATTATTTATATTTTACAAAAAGCCAAAAGATTTCAGCATATTCCAGTGATAACTTTAAAAATTAGATAACATTTTCTTAACATTTTTTCCTTTTTTAATGTTATGATAATATACTTCAAGATGATGGAAACGTAAACAGTATGAGTGTGGCTTGGTTAAGGAGCAGTATGTTCACAGACTACTTGATCTCTCCCGCTTTTCTCACCTCTCTCTTCTTGCCCCATTCACTATTTTTACCCTCCTCCTCCTCAAAACAAACAAGAGGTGGCAAAGCAGCAGTCAGACCAAGCCCATTGGAATTATTCTTCAATTTTACAGAGGCCAAGGGCCAAGATGTTCAACATTTTTCTTGAGCACTGGTGTAAATTACTTAGTCTTTGAGGTCAAAATGCAGCTTTCATAGTGGACAGTGCTTGAATGAGAAAAGGGTTCTGGTGCATCTTCAAAATGAATCCTAATGAACACACTGAGTACTTACAAGTAGAAGAACATAAATGTGTTTCCACATTTGACCCTTTCACATGTGCTTTATTAGACTCTGGGAGAGAAAAGCAACCAAGTGCTTCAGAGCAGGTTTTTAATGTTTAGTTGTGAATGGTAAAATTACAAAGTTCTAATGAACTGTTTCTTCCAAGGTTTAAAATTGTCAAGATAAATTTATTGTTTGTTTAAAAAAACAAACCTTTATAAGCAATAGATTTCTTGTGAGTTTTCTTTATTTTTTTTAAATGTTATGCAGGCAGGGCACTGTACAAAATCCTTTAAGAAGAACCAATGGAATAAAAATTTGGCACCATGATCAAAACTACTAAACTAGTAGATGTAACGATATCTAAAGCTTACCAACAAAAGAACCCTCAATGGAATAGCAAATACTTTGCTTGGGACATTTGAGGTCAAATTGAAAACATAAGTTTTTTTGTAAGCCCCTAGAGGCAGATCAGAAAAAGCAGACATAGAAGAGGGAAAGGAGAGAATGGAAATAAAATTCAATATTATGCAGATTTATGCCTTATTTTTTAGCATTTTTAAAATGTTGGGTCCTTCAGGCTGGTTTTGCTTTTTATTAGATCTGTATAGTTTGGTTAATTAACTAGTGATTTAGTTTTATATTTAAGCTACAATTAATCTTTCTTTGGTGATATTTATTTCTTTGCCTTTTTTTTAAACTTTCAATTTTTAGATGTTTTGTTGAATCTATTAGCGCTTCATCACCATGGCAATATGTATTTCCCTTAAAACACTGCGAACAAATAATACTAGAAGTGCACCCTTTTAATCTTTACTAGTTATTGTGAGATTGCTGTGTAAGTTAATAAACATTTGTAAATACATTGTTTGCAGGAAGAAAATTTCTGAGTTACAGCTCAGGAAAAGCCTGCTGAATTTATGTTGTAAGCATTACTTAACACAGTATAAAGATGAAAAGACAGCAAAAATATCTTCATACTTCCTTAACCCTTCATTGCAACAAAACCCTTAACTGGGAGAACCTTAGTCCCCCTCTCTTTCCTCTTTCTCCTCCACTTCCCACTTATTATCACCTTGTAATATTCAGAGAGCACTTGGATTATGGATCTGAATAGAAATGCTTTCAGATAATCATTAGCCCACATACCAGTAACTTATACTCAAAGATGGGATGGAATAGTAAAGTGCTTTTATAATACGATATTATTGTTAAAGGCAAGGGTTGACTCTTTGTTTTATTTTGACATGGCATGTCCTGAAATAAATATTGATTCAATATGGCAGATGAGTCATATTCTTTATTTGGAAAAAGTTGTGATTTCTGACAAGGAGGTGATTGTCTTCCTACACTGTTGCATTTGATTCTTTTTGTGTATCTTTAAGAAAGTAACCAGTTATGCTGCTTTTAATATTGGTACTTTTATTTGGCTTGGGGTTCTTCAACTGAAGCAGTGAAGTGTGTTCATAGTTCAGATTTTTTTAATAAACACAATTTTGCTGCCAAAAATATATAAATAAAACATGAAATAAAACAGTTATTGACTTGGTTTCCCATTCCTGTCAAGGTAGTGAATTAGCATATACTTCTTACTCTCTCCTGGAAGAAATATAAAGAGAATGTGGAATCCAGAAATGTAACAGAACAACAACAAATGTGAGAAACACTAGGGGAGTCTGAAGATTTCAATTTTTGAGTGTAGGGGAGAGTGGCTGCACCTTGAATAATAGAATATATTGAGAAAATTGTTTTATTAAGATATATTAAGAAAAATGTTGTAAGTTCTGCTTTTGCCTCCTCATACATAACCACATCTTTGCCCTTGGAACAGGGGCCCAATAAACTGTGACTCTCCTACCAAATCTAGTCTAGTACCTGTTTTTAAAATTAGGTTTTATTGGAACTCTGTCATACTTTCTCACTACAAAGGCAGAGTTTAAAAGTTGCTTCATGACTGAGCATGGCTCATATCTGTAGCCCCAGCGCTTCGGAAGCCTGAGGCAGGAGGATCACTTGAGACCAGAAGTTTGAGAACAACCTGGGCATCATAGTTAGATTTCATCACTAGAAAAAAATTTAAAAATTAGCCAGGTGAGGTGAGGAGGAACAACCATAGCTGGCCCCCTTTCTGTAGAAATGAAAGCCACAGCCAGAATCCTGGTGCAGGTGTCCACAGGGGTAATGTTAGTAGAAAATTAGTAGAAAAGTCCAGATAAGCTGGTGAAGATAAAGAAAAGGTCCTAAAATAAGATATGATTTGGTTCGTGACCCGCCTGGGCAACTTGGCGAGACCTCATCTCTACAATAAATCAAAAATTAGCCGGGCGTGGTAGCGCACACCTGTAGTTCCAGCTACTTGGAAGGCTAAGGCGGAAGGATTGCCAGAGCCCAGCAGGTTGAGGCTGCGGTGGCCGGGACCGGCCACTGCACTCCAGTCTGAGTGACAGAGTGAGACTCCAACTCAAAAAAAAAAAAAAAAGATGTGATGATACTGAGTGGGAGTGATTACATGTAATGATTCCTGGAACTCTTTGCCCCTAGATTTGTCCCCTCTGCTTAACTTGACAGTCTGGTCTTTGACCCTTGTCCCCTCTACCTTCCCAGACTAGCAGCCTGTGCCCCAAGGAGAACCTGAACTCACACAGCAGTATAGTTGAATACCTAAAAGCTGCATCAAAAGAAAAAGTAAATACTATCTGATGCAGAAATACTTTGGGAAAGATAAGCAATAATTTAAAGATGGCATAATATTAACAGAAAATAATACAAAACAGTTAAAAGTAATACAATCAAAAAATTAAGTGAAAAATTTAATAATTGAAATAAGGAACACAGATGGGATAAATGGTAGACTGAATTCCATTGACAATGAATTGGAACATTAAATTAAACTCATTCATTAGAAAACAAATAGAAAAGATACACAAGAGGATAATAGTGTAACTGGCAACAGCAGTAGCAGTAGCAGTAGCAGTACATTTAAACTAGATTTTTTAAATGTACTGATAAGAATTGTGAGCATGATATGCATGTAATTTTAACTTACTATTTATTTACTTACTTAGATGCAGGATCTCACTGTGTTGCCTAGGCTGCACTGCCAGTACCTATTCACAGGTACAGTCATTGTGTACTATATCCTCGAACTCCTTGGCTCAAGCAGTCCTGCCTCAGCCTCCTGACTAGCTGGGACTACAAACCACATGCTACCACACCTGGTTTTGAACATGGTATTATGATAAGTATCTGCACATCTTCTGAAACAGTTCCAGACCCCTGCCTTCTGGTATTCATGCCTTGTATGATCCCTTCCCTTGAGTATAGGCTTGACTTAGTGACTTACTTTGAAGGACTAGAATACAGCAGAAGTGATAAGGTGTCACTTCAAATACTTGATTACAAAAGACTGGCTTCTGTATTATTCACACCATCTCTCTGTCTCTTCCTCTATGAAGCAACCTGCCATGGTTGTGAGCTGCCAGTGGAGATGCCCACATAACAAAGAACTGAGGGCAGCCTCCAGCCAGCAGCCAGTGAGGAACTGAGGTCCTCAGTAAAACTGAATGAAAAGTCACGGATTAAAACAATATTTGTAAATAGCATATTTGGTAAGGGGCTGGTATTCAAAATATATGAAGAAGTCTCGTAATCTGATAGATCAATCCAATAAAAAACAGGCAAAAGATTTGACCAGACACTTCACCAAAGAAGATAGAAAGATGGCCTTTTAAAAGGACATGAAAAGATACTTGACATCATTAGTCACTAGGGAAATGCAAATTAAAACTACAATGAGATACCTCTAACACACATATTAGAAAAACTAAAAACTAATCGTACCAAGTGGTGGTTAGGATGGGAGTAACTAACACACACTACTGGTGTAAGATTTTGGGAAGACAGTATGGCAGTTTCTTACAAAGTCAAATGTATACTTGTATAACCCATCCATTCCATGCCTAAACATTTACCCACAAGAAATGGAAGTATGTGTTCATACAAAGACTTGTATACAAAATTCATGGTAGCTTAATTTGTATAACAGAGAACTAGAAACTACCCATTAAAAGGCCAGGCTTGGTGACTCAGCCTGTATTCCCAGCACCTGGGAAGCCAAGGCGAGTGGATTGCCTGAGCCTGTGGGTTCGAGACCCACCTGGGCAACTTAGTGAGACCTCGTCTCTAAAAATAAAATAAAAAATATAAAAGGTGAATATATAAATATATTATGGTACATGCACACTCTGCAACACTACTCGGCAATAACACAATGAACTTTTGATACCCAAAACAGCAATCAGCCTCAGAACTGTCTTTAGTGAAAAAACATGGACAAAAAAGTACTTATTTTGGCTTGGCACGGTGGCTAAGACCTTCAGTACATGGCTGAACAGAGTGATGAAAGCAGATATCCCAACCCTTGCCTTGTTCCCAGTCTTTTCGGAAAATAGCATTTAGTCAGCAGTTACGTGTTAGGTGTGTGTGTCAACAGATGAAGTGAGATATAATGTATATAGCATATATCTCACTCATTTAAACTGTACAATTTAATGGTGATTTTGGCATATTTCCAGAGCTTTGCAACTATCACCACAATCCATTTTAGAATATTTTCATCACCCCCAAAAGAAATCGTGCACCTAATTAACAGTCACTTCACATTTTCCCCCAACATGACAATTACCACCCCCATCCCTAGGCAGCCACTACTTTCTGTCATTATAGATTTGTCTATTCTGAACATTTTTTATATAGATCAAATCACGTAATACGCAACCTTTTGTGACTGGCTTCTTTCATTAACAACGTGTTTTCAAGGTTCGTTCATGTTATAACATGCATCAGTACTTCACTTTTTTTGGTGTGGATATACCACATTTTTGTCTATCAGTTGATGATTTGAATTGTTCACACTTTTTGACTATTATGGATAATAACCTTTTCATAAGCACATAAGTTGTGGGTACATATGTTTTTATTTCTCTTGGGCATCTATTTAGGATTGGAATTTTTGGGTCATATGATGACTGGTTTGTTTTATTTTCCTTTTATGATAGACTTTTTAATAATTATATTTTTAGAAAAAAAAAATATTTTTTTTTTTTTTTGAGTCAGAGACTGTCACTCAACCTGGAGTGCAGTGGCATACAGCTCACTATAACCTCAACCTCCTGGGTTCAGGCTATCCTTCCGCCTCAGCCTCCCAAGTACTTGGGACTATAGGCACATGCCACACCACCCAGCTAATTTTTATTTTTTGTCGAGACGAGATCTTACTGTGTTGCCCAGGTTGGTCTCAAACTCCTGGCCTCAAGCTTTCCTCCCACCTCAGCCTCCCAAAGTGGTCAGATTTCAAGTGTGGGCCACCATACCTGGCCTAGATTTTCAGAAATATTTGGAAGAGAGTGTTTTCATATATTCCACACCCAGTTTCCCCTAGCATTAAATATTATATTAGAGTGGTACATTTATTACAATTACTGGACTTTTTTTAAAAAGACTTGGCATCATCCCTATATTGCACAGACTGGAATGCAGTAGCTATTCACAGGCACTGTCAGGTGCACTACAGCCTCAAACTCCTGGGCTCAAGTGATCCTCCTGCCTCAGCCTCCTGAGTAGCTTATTGATAATATTGATAAATTCTTATTAGCAAAAGTCCATACTGTATTCAGATTCCCTTTATTTTTAACCTTTATATCTCTTTTCTATTCTGGGATCTTACCCAGGATACCACATTTCTTTTAGTAAAAAAGTCTGCTTTTTTACTGCTTTTTTCACATTTCTTTTAGTAAAAAAGTCTGCTTTTTTACTGTAACAGTTTCCCAGACTTTCACTGTTTTTTTGGTGACCCCAATAGTTTTGAGGAGTACTGGTCAAGTATTTTGTAGGATACTTCTCTATTGGAATTGTTGTTTTTTCTCAGGATTTGATTGAGGATATAAGTTGCTGGAACACCACAGAAATAAAGTGCTACTTTCATCACTTCCTATCAAGGGTTGACGTTTATCACCTGGCCAAAGTCGTGTTTGTCAGTTTTCTCCATTGTGTTACTCTTCTCGGCCAGGCATGGTGGCTCACCCCTGCAATCCCAGAATTTTGAGGAGGCTGAGGGAGGAGGATTGCTAGGGGCCAGGAGTTCAAGACCAGCTGGGCAACATAGTGACCCCGCTTCTACAAAAAATAAAAAAATTAGCCAGGTGTGGTAGTGAGTGCCTGTAGTCCTAGCTACTTGGGAGGTTGAGGTGGGAGGTCCCAGAGCCCAGGAGTTTGAGATTACAATGAGCTATGATTACACTACTGCACTCCAGCCTGTGACAGAGCAAGACCCTGTCTCTTAAAAACAAAACTTTTCCCCTCACTTCCTGCTTTTCCATATTTGTTTCCTATGTGCAGCCTGTGCTTAAGGGGTGGAATTTATGCTTCTTCAGGGGTGACTAAGTAAATTATTGGGAATTCTACAAGGGAGATTTGTCTCTTCTCCTTCATGTGTTTAATATTTCTTTTATACTTTGGGTTATAATCTAATACTACTT